CTCCAATGGGGTGACAGTTTGTGTAGGAAGGGATCTTCATTTCAAACTGATGGATGATTTAGCTGTGGCTTTGCTTAACGAACTTAAGCTTTTTGTTGCTCTGAAAGGCTTAAATTGCCTACCATCCGAGACTGAGGCGAATGATGCTCATGATTTGATGTTACGGATAATTCTGGAACAAAGCCGGATTCGCAGTGAAATACATACGGAAATGACGAAGAGAGTGAGGGGGAGGAGTATGATGATCGGGTTTCTTCTCAGCAGGTCTGTTCTAATGATTTTTATTCCTGGATGGAAATGGATCAATCTGATGTGGACATAATGGAACCTTTGGCAGTTGTGCGCCCTGATTGTTTAGAGACGACTAATGATTTGGGCATGGAATGGGTGATAGAAAATATTGGCGTGGTTAGTGAAGCTTTGGGTGTCTCTTCGGAGGGTGATGATGACCGAACTCAGTCCATTCTTCATGCTATTGTGGCAGGAAACGATAATACAGAGACCTTTCAAGGCACAAAAAATGTAAAAAATAGAAAACATCCATCACATCGGAAAGGGGAACAGGAGGTCAAGAACCTTATTTCCTATGTTAACTATGAGGAGAAGGATGGGGTGACTAAAGAAAGGGGAAGGACCAAAAGTGGGAAATGGGGAGGAGGGGAAATGATCGTTTTTGGTTCTTAATGAAGTTACGAATTATTACACGGAACGTCCTTGGTGTAAATGATCCGGATAAAAGAAGGGTGGTCAAGGTTGCTGTGAGGAAGTGGAATGCCCATGTTATATGCTTACAAGAAACCAAGATGGCCTCTACTACTGATGAGGTGGTTAGGAGTCTTTGGGGAGGAAGATTTGTGGAATGGGAAGCGTTAAATGCCTCCGGTACATCGGGCGTAATTCTAATTATGTGGGATCAAAGATGGTTGTCCAGAACGAACTTATGGAAAGGGCACTATTCTTTGTGATGTGTGTTTCAGATGGAGGATGATAACTTCAGTTGGGTCTTTTCTGGAGTTTATGGACCCGTTATTGATTGTGATAGACTAGTCTTTTGGGAAGAGCTCAGCTTCGTTAAGGAATTGTGGTCATTGCCTTGGTGCTTAGGCGGAGATTTTAATTTTGTTAGGTCTCCGTTTGAGAGGTCCACAGGGGGTAGGTGGTCCTTGGAGATGACCTAGTTCTCCGATTTTATTGATTGTCACTTTCTTATTGATCTGCCATTGAAGGGCAGTCTTTACATGGTTTAATGGCAGGGATCCGGTTACTTTTCTAAGGCTAGATAGATTTCTGATTTCTGGGGATTGGGAAGAGAAATTCCCGGATGTTACTCAGGCAACTTTGGTCAGGGTAACGTCCGATCTTGTGCCCTTAGTTCTCAATTGCGGAAGGATGAGATCTCGACGCACACTATTCCGCTTCGAAAATATGTGGTTGAGATTTGAGGACTTCCAAGGGAAAGTCTAGTCTTAGTAGGGGGAGGCAACTTTTACAGGCTCTACTAGCTTTGTGTTAGGAAGTTTCAGATTCTCAAATATGAGCTTAAGAAGTGGAACAAAGAAGTGTTTGGGAATTTTGAATGGAAGAAGAATAGAGTTATGGCTGATATTGCTGAACTTGATCGTCTTGATGAGCTGGGGCAGGACGCGGAGTCTTTACGCTTTAGAAGAGCGTCTTTTTAGGCAAATTTTGTTGAGATTGCTGTTATGGAGGAGATTTCATGGCGTCAGAAATCTCGGGCATTGTGGCTAAAAGAAGGTGATCGCAACACAAAATTCTTTCACAGGCTTGCTAACGCTCATCGAAGATGTAATCACATTGGGCGTATCCGTGTGAATGGTTCAGAGTTGTGGAGGGAGGATGAGGTGCATGGGGGAATTGTTTCCTTTTATTAGCAGCTCTACACTGAGACTTTGGGATGGAGACCCAAACTTGATGGTCTGCAATTCAATACTATTTCTACGCTGGATAGTGATAAGCTTAAGGTTCCTTTCACTGAAGAGGAAGTACTTAAGGCGTTATCAAGCTGTAATGGTGATAAAGCTCTAGGCCAGATGGATTCACTATGCGGTTTCTCAAGGAGAGTTGGGAGGTGGTGCGCAGTGAGGTGATGTGCACCTTTCAGGAATTTCATTCTTATGGCACATTTAAGAAATCATTGAACGCTTCTTTTATTGCCCTTATTCCTAAGAAGGGCGACGCCTCTGATATTAAGTACTTTCGGCCAATCAGCTTAATTGGATGTATGTACAAGCTTATTGCCCAGGTTCTTGTTCTTTGGATGCGAAATGTTTTGGATAGAATTATTTCAGAGTCACAGAATGCTTTTGTTAGAGGACGGCAGATCTTGGATTCCGGGTTTATCGCAGGGGAATGTGTTGACTCTAAGTTGAAGAGTGGAGCTCCTAGCGTCTTATGCAAACTTGACATCGAAAAAGCCTCTGATCACGTTAGTTGGAAGTTTCTTCTTTACTTGCTTCGGAGGATGGGGTTTGGAGACAGGTGGATAAAATGGATCGAAACTTGTATCTCGTCCATCATGTTCTCTTTGCTTGGGAACGGATCTCCTGCTGATTTTTTTGCGACCTCGGGCGGTTTGAGACAAGGAGACACCTTATCGTCTTTCTTATTCCTTATTGTCATGGAGGGATTGAGCAAATTAATGAAAAAAACGGAGGATTTGGGTTACATCGGGGGGTTTAGAGTCGGTAGAGATGTTGCTCATCAGATAGAAATTTCCCATTTGTTATTTGCGGACGATACCTTGGTTTTTTGTGATGCCGATGTCTCTTAACTCAAATATTTGAGGTGCATTCTTGCTTGTTTTCAAGCGGTGTCTGGACTTAAGATCAATGTTGGAAAGAGTGTGCTTGTCTCAGTGGGGGATGTTCCAGATATTTCCTCCTTAGCTGCAGTTCTTGGGTGTGGAGTGGGTGCTTTTCCACTTCCTTATTTGGGATTGTCTTTGGGAGTTTCCTCCAGGAGAGTGGGGAGTTGGGATCCGTTGATTAATAGGTATGAAAAGAGATTGGCAGGATGGAAAAAACAGTATCTTTTGAAGGGGGGAGGTCACTCTTATTATGAGTACCCTAAAGTCCCTTCCCACCTACTTTTTATCTTTGTTTCAAATCCCATGCTCTGTTGTTGAACGGATTGAAAAAATTCAGAGAGACTTTCTTTGGGGTGGAAGAGGAGAGGAGTTCAAGTATCATCTTGTTAACTGGGAGCAAGTTTGCATACCTTTGAATTTAGGCGGTTTAGGCATTCGGAGGTTGGTCCCTTTCAATAGAGCTTTATTAGGAAAGTGGTTATGGAGGTTCGGTAAAGAGCGTCATTAGTAGTGAAGAAGAGTTGTCTCGTGTCGCTTTGGGGAGGAGAGTGGGGGTTGGTCCTCTCGTCCTATCTCTGTAACAGGAGGCGTTGGCGTGTGGAAATTTATTCAGAAGGGTTGGGATGTGTTTTCCATCCACATTAGATTCAAGGTTCATAATGGTAGGCATGTTCGATTTTGGGAAGACCTATGGTGTGGTGATCAGTTGTTGTCTCTTTCCTTTCCTCGACTCTTCATTATTATCGAGAATAAACATGCTTACATTGCTGACTGTTATCAACTTGATAGTAGTGGGGTTACGTGGGATGTGCGTTTCAGGCATTCTTTTCAGGATTGGGAGATGGTGGAAGTATGTGTTTTTTTGGATCTATTGTATAGACAGAAGGATGTTGTAGAGGTTGTGACGATATTCTGTGGGTCCCTTCCACTCATGGTAGATATGGAGTCCGATCCTTGTTCTTGTGTTTGTCCAATTTCGCTAGCCAAGAATTCCCATGGAAGTCTATTTGGCACTCTAAAGCTCCTCTTAGAGTTGCATTCTTTGTTTGGATTGTCACCGGGGAAAGATTTTGACATTGGATAATTTGAGAAAGAGAAGCAATACCATTGTTAACTGGTGTTGCCTATGTAAAACAGACGGTGAGTCCGTGGATCACATTCTTATGCATTGTCGTGTGGCGTATGGTTGTTGGAATCTTATATTCAGTATTTTTGGCGTTCAGTGGGTGATGCCTAAGCACTCCATTCAATTAATTAACGCATGGAGAAGATGCCCAGTCAAAGGTCATGGCCGTGATTTTTGGAGGATTGTCCCACACTGTGTTTGGTGGTGTATTTGGAGAGAGACAAATAACTGAAATTTTGAAGGAAAGGAATCGTCTCTAGCAAATTTGAAAACTCATATTCTTCGTTCTCTTTTTTGTTATGTAAGAGGAAGCGCTTGCTCCTCGATTGATGATTTATTTGATCTATTGGTCCTTAGGTTTTTCGTTTTTGTGTATTACGGACATGTTCCCCTTAAAATATTTTACTTATCAAAAATAAATAAATAAATAATTTCCCAATGTTCTTTGAGGACATTTCAGTAAATTATACAATTCCGTTAGTCTATTTGACGGCATGCCATTACTAGGGGAGGTTCGTATAACAAGGCCAGAGTAATTTTGAAAACCATAGGGGAGGTCTGTGTAAATATGACATACTCAGGGCAGGTCAGTGTAATTTACCCTCTTTTTTTTTTTTTTAAAAAAAGATATGCAACTGGAACCTGTGATTACTTTTTCCCCATGAATCCTTTTTAGGCCATGTTAGTCAAATGATATTTTTCATTATAATTAATTTGATTTTATTAGCAAGTTGCCAAATATTGCTGTATATCTGGTGTTTTCTCGTTTATGTATTATACGTATTGCATTTGTCATTCTAATAAGCATGGCGTTTTATTTTAGGCATATGGATTTATATGGATTGAGTAATAAAGATATAATTATGTCTGATCTGTTAGCTATGAGCCATTTAGTAATAAAATATCTTAGATGCACTTCCCTTTTTCTACAAATATCATTTCCTTTGTCTGTAAGGTTGAGTGGCATTATATATTGAGGCACAGAACCTTCTATCTGTTTTTTGAATTTTGAATTTTTTATTTGATCCAATGTCATTTTTGTTACAGGTGGATGCAATATGACTCCAAGTCTAAAGTGGTAAGTCACTTGGCCCTGGACCGTTGTGAATTTTTATTCTTCCCTTTTCTCTCCTGGGTAAGAGTAACATAAGTACCATTACCCCAACGGGTTGCCTCAAGTGGTAAGTCACTTGGCCCTGGACCCTTGTGAAGCATCAGGTCTAGTCTTGCCTGCACTTTCCTCTAGGGGAGTAGCAAGAAAATGCCACTAAAGTTCACGTATTTAGTAATTTTCATTTTCACTTTGGTGCAATTTATTTCTTACCAAGAAACCAACACATCCATTTGCCCCTGTGGGGACTTGGTAGAGGAGATACTACTACTAGGTTACAGTCCTTGATACTTTTGGTGATAGTTATATTGATTTTTTTTCTTTTCCCTCTTTGTCTGCTTTCAAACTTGACGACGGTTTTATCAATTAATATGGATAGATATTAATTGAAGAGTGACTGGACTGAGACCGTTCAGTAACAATCAAATCCTAAATCAATCTAAACATTGATACTAATTCAATTGGTACTATGCCCGGAAAGCAATAGACAACTCTATTTATGCTTTTTGGCAATTTCTTTAAAGACACTAACAAGCACACAAGCTTGATTGATTTCAAATATTGAACATTTATTTCATCATACTAATCAATCATTCATGCTTGTAAAAATAAACACAAATATTTGAAGCATTTTAGAGTATATAAAAATAAAGTACGAGATGCACACCCGATTTTATGTGACAAAACTTCCCTCCCCGACGAGTCAGAAATCTACAGGTCCTAGTTTGACAAATTAATTCATTATGAAGATTGAGATGTACAACTTAAATCTCTTCAGTCCTTCGAACATTTGTTGATCCCTAGACACAAAATTACACTAAACCTTCAGTCATTCGAAGATCTCGAGGTCGCCTTTTGATATGTCTACACCATTCAGTACACTGAAACACTCCTCTTGATCAATCTTCAGCCCTAGTCGTCCAACCTTTATGTTGAAATTCTGGCTTGATTTCTCTTATCAACACTGTTGTAAACTTTGTATAGCACGTCAATTGTCACAACATATTGATATCATCATGATCACCATGTCATATGTGATACTTCCTCCGTCCCATATTAATAGTCCATTATCTCATTTTTTGCTGTTCCATTTTAGTTGTCACATTTCAAAAATCAATACATTACTTTTTATCACATTCCCAATTTACCCCTAAAAGATTAAACTAATTAAAATTTTAAAATAAGTGGACCCCATTAAAAATAACTTTTTCATACTACACTAGACAACTGTGTTTGAAGCCTTCGGAGGAAGTTTGCCGTGGTAGAGATGCGGCCAGAGCCTACTGCTCCGACCAGTCACCGGAGTCTTTAACACCGGTGAAATCCTCTGCTACTTTCTCTTTTTATGTTCCCTTTCTCTGTTGGCTTCGTTATTTCGTTGTATCATTTATCGTGGTCTTGCTCATGAAAGCGCTTGATTGTCAGAAGTTGTCTTATTTGGAGGTTGCCCGTCTTCCTCATCTGGATTTGAAAGGGGAGGTGGAATGAATTTCTTCTCAGAAGGATCATGTGTTTAGGGTGGATAATCTCAGCACTTCCTCTCGCGAACAGGTTCTTAGGGCGTGTCTTGTTGGGCGTTTTGACAGAGAGGTTGGATCCTTGGAGGAGATCGAAGATTGGGCCACGAAGACCTGGTTGATTTCGGGCGGGGTTAGGGTTAACTCCTTGCCGGACAGGCTGTTGCTATTCCGGTTCCCGTCGGCGTTGGAGGCTCATAAGGTCCTTGATTGGGGCAAGAAAGTTTGGGGTGAGGCTCAGCTCTTCATCGATCTCTGGTATTACAGGGTAGGGTGCTCCGGTTTGAGGTTGAGGAATAGGTTCTGGCGAGTCATTTTGTATGGTCTGCCATTGCATCTTTGGTGCAAGAAGCTTTTTGTTGCCATTGGTGATGTGTGTGGAGGTTTTCGGGAAGTGGAGGCTTTCGAGATGAGTGACACGGAAAGAATTGTGATCACTGTGGCTAACGGTGGTGGGATTCCGGCGAGTATTGTGGTGGAGGATGGTTAGTGGGCTTTCAGAATCTCGTTATCTAAAGAAATAGCTCCGACCATGGTCCCGCTGACTGGGACTAACTCCGGAAAAGGTGTCCCGGGACCAACGGCGACGTCGGTTGCCCTTCTTCCGGTTCGCAGATCTGGTGGTGGAGGTAGATCTAAGCCGGAGCTCCAAAAGGTAGAGGTGCAACACAGTCGGACTCGAGGTCAGGGATGTGGGAGACGCCGCGCGTCTCAGGCGCGTGGCAATGGAAAGGAAACTCCTGTGACACGTGGTTGGAGGAGAAACGATGCCCGTTCTGAGTGGAAGACAGCTGCCTCTTCACGTGACGAGCCACGTGATTTTCGGCGATTTTTGAATTTCAATTCTTTTGGGCCTGATGGGATTGGGCCTTCTCAACGTGGGGCTCATTTGGTGGGTTCGAAAGGGACTGGGAAATAAGTACGCGTGGAGTGGGCCTAGGTCATCTTCTGGGCCGGGGCGGCCCTTAAAGCCCATTAAGAAGGATAGACGCCTCAAGCTATCTGGGCCTATTGTTGTTGTTGGATCAGCCCAGGTTAAGCCAAAATTGGCTAAGGAGAGGGTGGTTAAATGGGGCCCTAACAAAAGCCTTTCAATTTCACTTCAAGGTGGGCAGCCCACTTCAGGTTTAAATCACAGACATTCTTTTCATGATCCTCATCAGGACACGTCTCAGAAAAGCTCAGCATCACGTTCTTGGTCGAGGAGAGATAAGGCGAACTGGGTGAAGATGAGCTTGAGCATGACGAAAGGGGATGGGGTTTGTCCGAAGACTTTCCGGCATGGATCGTGCTGTCAGAAATGGCTCTCGGGTAATAGATTTGACCTTCTTCAGTCTGGGTTTTTTGGTGGTGATGAAAATGGAGACTGTGAGTCCACGAAGGAGGAGTGTCTCTCTTGGAATTCTATGAAGCAACCTAGAAAGAAATGGACCAGAAAGGATAAACAAAAGTGGGTCGCCCATAAGGATTCTCATTCGTGTCCAGGTAATTCCTCTTCTCATGTCCGGAACTCTTCATCAGTTTCTCTTTCTACTTCTACTCCTTCTTGTGAAGTGTTAAGAAGTAAGGGGGAGGAGGATTTTGCTGGGAGGCAGCAGATGTTGTCGCCTGTTCTAGAGGGTGACTCGGTGGATGTGATGAGCTTTGCGGCTGGTTCTGAGTTTGGGGATGTTGGGCCGTCAGAAAGGGATGGGACGGTTTGTTTGTCTGGTGACAGGGATTTCAACCGGTTTTATGCCGGGGTTGCTGAGACATGCTCGGAGTTTTCTTCCGCATCTCGGTTTTATGATTCCTCAGGGGAGGAAAGGGGCAGGTCGGCCAAGTGTCTTTTGAGTGGATTGGCAGGGTCTTGTTCTCCTCTGAAAGATGGTCCAGTGACTTGGTTGAAGGATTCTGTGCCTGATTTGGTGACTGTTTGTGTGGGCAAAGATATCCGTTTTTCCCTCAGTGATGAATTAGCCTCTCTTTTGGTAAAGGAGCTGCAGAAGCACAGATTTTCGCCTAATGATCAAACTGTTGACTGCAATCCGGACCCTTTCATCCGGGATGGGGTTTTGGATTATGGTGAGGACTGGTTTTCTCATGTTGAGGAGGCAGTGGTGGACAAGGAAGGTAAGGGAGTTGGGAGTAGGTCTCTTGATTTAATGTTGTGGGAGGAGGAGGGTCATGTTAACTTGGGGCTGGTGGACCCATTGGCCATTGTTCTTCTAGAGGATTTGGGCAATAAGGAGTGTAGGCAGGTTGCTGAGGATACTGGAAAGGAATGGGTCAAGGCTAATATTGGGACCACTAGCAAACTTTTGGGTGTCTTTAGCAAGGGCAATCGGGATCAGGCCTTAGCAATTCTTCAGGCCACGGTAGAGGGGAGAGAGGGGGAGATGATTCAATTCTCCTAAGGAGAAGCCGGAAGAAGAAGATCCTATCTCCGTGAAAAGGAGAAAGAGAGCTTAGGAATCTGTGTTCTAATGTGAATTATGATAGGGTGACTGAGGGGGCGAAGGAGAGGGGGAGTGTGAAGGGGGAGGGAGGGGTAAGGGGGTGATGGGGGTGAGTGTTTCCTTATGAAGATACGATTATTATCTTGGAATGTCCATGGCCTAAATGGCCCGGGCAAGCGAAAGGTGGTGAAGATGGCGGTGAGGAAATGGGGGGTGCATTTGGTGTGTCTTCAAGAAACAAAGATTGATTCCATGACTGATCGGGTGGTGAAGAGTTTGTGGGGTACCCGGTTTGTTGAGTGGGAGGCGCTGGATTCTGTTGGAACTTCAGGTGGTGTCCTTATTATGTGGGATGGAAGATAGATGGCTAAGGTGGATGTCTTTAAGGGGATATTTTCTCGCCTTTGTGATGGAGGAGGATGGTTTCACTTGGGGCTTTTCTGGGGTGTATGGGCCAGCTGATGATGGTGTGAGGGATGGTTTGTGGGAGGAGTTGAGTGGGGTGAAGGGGAGGTGGCCTCTTCCTTGGTGCGTGGCAGGTGATTTTAACGTGGTTAGGTCCCCGGCGGAGAGATTTACAAGAGGTCCGTGGACTCAGGCTATGATGCACTTTTATGATTTTATTAATGTTCATCAGCTTATTGATCTTCCTCTTGAGGGAGCTTCTTCCACTTGGTTCAGTGGAAGGGAAACACCAACTTTCTCTCGTCTTGATAGATTTTTTATTTCCGGTTACTGGGAAGAGAAGTTCTCGGATGTTGTTCAGGCTGTGTTGGCTACTTCGGATCACATTGCTTTGGTTTTAGACTGTGGAGGGTTGAGATCTTGTAGCACTCCTTTCAGATTTGAGAATATGTGGCTTAGTGCGGATAATTTCCAGGGACTTGTGCATGCTTGGTGGGAGGAGAACCTGGTGGTGGGTACATCAAGTTTCATTCTTGCAGGAAAGCTTCGTATTCTGAAAGATAATCTCAAAAGGTGGAATAAGGAGGTTTTGGGAGGTTGTAGTGGAGAAAGAATAGGGCTTTGGCTGCTAGTGCCGAGATTGATCGACTTGAAGGGGAGGGTGTTCTTTTTGAATCTCAACGCAGTAGGAGAGTAGCTTGTCAGGCAGAATGTGTGGAGATTGCAGTTTTGGAGGAAATTTCGTGGTGACAGAAATCTCGGGCCTTATGGCTCAAAGAGGGAGACCGGAATACCAAGTTTTTCCATAGAACCGCTAATGCTCATAGGAGGAATAATCACATTGGGCGGATGCGTGTGGATGGTGCGATTTTGGCTACGGAGGAGGAGGTGCGTAGCGGTATTGTCTCTTTCTACCAAAAGCTGTATTCTGAGCCTCTTCGATGGAGGCCACATCTTGATGATCTTCACTTTGATTCTATCTCTGTCGTGGAAAGAGATGGGTTGGAAAATCCTTTTTCGGAGGAAGAGGTGCTGAAGGCTCTTAAGAGCTATAATGGCGACAAGGCTCCAGGCCTGGACGGATTTACTATGAGATTTCTGCTGGAGAGCTGGGAGGTGGTCCGGTACGAGGTTATGGGCACTTTTCATGAGTTTCATTCCACAGGGAGGTTTGAGAAATCACTGAACGCATCTTTTATTGCCCTAATTCCTAAGAAGGGTGGTGCTTCCGATATAAAGGACTTTTGACCAATCAGTCTGATTGGGTGCATTTATAAGCTCATTGCAAAAGTCCTTACGTTTCGTTTGAGGGAGGTCTTGGATGGAGTTATCTCTGAGTCTTAGAATGCTTTCATTGGGGGTAGACAGATCCTGGATTCCGCTCTTATTGCTAGTGAATGTGTGGATTCTAGATTGGGTAGTGGGTCTCCTGGTGTTATTTGTAAGATGGATATCGAGAAAGCTTATGATCATGTCTGTTGGAATTTCCTATTCTATTTATTGGAGAGGATGGGATTTGGTGAGAAATGGAGGAAATGGATTGCTTCATGTGTTTCCACTGTCAGCTTTTCGGTGCTAGTGAATGGGTCTCCTGCGGGGTTTTTCGGCAGTTCTCGCGGCCTGAGACAGGGGGACCCTCTCTCCCCATTCATTTTTATTATTGTTATGGAGGCTCTCAGTAGGTTAATGAAAAGGGCGGTGGACTTGGGTTTTATTAGGGGTTTTAAGATAGGCCCCGACTCCGTTCAGCAGATGGAGATATCTCAATTGCTCTTTGCGGATGACACTATTGTTTTTTGCGAGGCAGAGGTGTCCCAGTTGAGGTATCTGAGATGTGTCTTGGTTTGCTTTTAGGCTGTCTCTGGTTTGAAAGTCAACGTGGGCAAGAGTGTGCTTGTCCCTGTGGGGGAGGTTCAGGAGGTGGACACTCTGGCTGCTGTTTTAGGGTGTGGGACGCAACGCTTCCCTATCTCATATTTGGGTTTGCCGTTGGGGGACTCGGCCAGGAGGGTGGGAAGTTGGGACCCGGTGATTGAGAGGGTCGAGAGAAGATTAGCTGGGTGGAAAAAGCAATATCTCTCCAAGGGTGGTAAAGTTACGTTAGTGAAAAGTATATCGTCAAGCATCCCAACGTATTTTCTTTCGCTCTTTCGGGCCCCAACCTCTGTTGTTGGACGTCTTGAGATGCTTCAACGTAATTTCCTTTGGGGGGGCCGTGGAGAGGAGTCTAAGTATCATCTTATCAGATGGGAGTAGGTCTGCAGGCCATTTCAATTGGGCGGGCTTGGGATTAGGAGATTGGCTTCGTTTAACAGTGCTCTCCTTGGTAAGTGGCTTTGGAGATTCGGCAGTGAAAGACAGAGATTATGGAAAAGGGTTATTTCTTGTCGTTTTGGGGAGGAGAGAGGGGGGTGGTTAGCTTGGCCAGTCAGGTATGCTTGCGGAGTAGGGTTGTGGAGGGCCATTAGAAAAGGATGGGGACGAGTTTTCCAAACATGTTAGATTTAGAGTTCGGGATGGAAGATTTGTCCGGTTTTGGGAGGATCCCTGGTGCGAGGATAGGCCTCTGGCTCTTTTGTTTCCAAGGCTGTACAGGATTGCTGTTGACAAACATACTATGGTTGCCAATTGCTATCGTCTTGATAGCGGGAGGTTATCTTGGGATGTGCGATTCTGGCGATCTTTTCAGGATTGGGAGTTGGATGATGTTACTGGCTTGTTGGCTCTCTTGTACAGACAGGAGTTGGAGGGCACTGGTGTTGACTTCCTGATTTGGGTGCCTTCCTCTCAGGGGATGTTCCAGGTCCGGTCTTTTTTTATGTGCCCCTCTGGTTTTCATGGCGTTCCCTTCCCATGGAAGACAGTGTGGTTGTCCAAAGCGCCTCTTAGGGTGGCTTTTTTTTTGTGTGGACTACAGCTTGGAGTAAGATTTTGACTTTGGATAACTTGAGGAAGCGAAGACATATTATTGTTAATCGATGTTGTCTTTGTAAATTGAATGGGGAGTCAGTGGATCATCTTCTGCTGCATTGTCCTGTGGCTCATGATTGTTGGAGTGTCATTTTTGATCTGTTTGGTATTCATTGGGTTATGCCTCGGACATCGCGGGGCTTGCTGGATATCTGGAGGGGCCAATGGTTGGGGGCTCAGGCGAGAGTCTTCTGGAGGGTAACCCCTTTTTGTGTTTGGTGGAGGATTTGGAAAGAGTGGAATAGAAGATCTTTCGATGTGAAGGAATCCTCTATTGGGGTGTTGAAATTTTCTATTATTTGTACTCTTTTTTTGTTGGGGATGGGGGAGAGATTTTTCCTCTATTGAGGATCTTGTGGACTTTTTGGGTTCCTTGAGATCATAGGTTCTATTTTTGTATAACTTGGGACGCGTTCCTCTTTTGAATGCCTTTTAATGCATTTTACTTATCAAAAAAAAAAAAAAAAATACTACTTTCAAAATAAGTGGATCCCATTAAATATACTGACTTTTTGTTTAGCTAAATTTTTAGAACCTCGATAAATGAAAAAACAAATTTTTAGGGAAGGGCAAATTTGGAAATGCATCTTTTGCCAATCTAATAAAGTATGATAAAAGTTGTTGCCTTAAAAACTGTGAAATGTGGAATTGGACTATTATAAAGGGACAGAGGGAGTAATTAACAGAAATACGGAGTCCTCAATTCTCACAAGAATCTCTCTCACAAATATGTATATGTGAAGAACATGAATTTCTTGTGGAAAAAGAAACAAACAAAAATTCTGTATGAAAGCATTAATAAATTTTTCAATGCACTTGTGTATTCCACAAGAGGCGCTCAATAGGGGTTCTGTGAAACCTAGTACATATGGGCAATATGTCAAAACTTTTCAAAACAATTAAAATATGGATTGAATAATTTTGTCTGCATATGCTGCAAGGGCTCCTTGGATCGATCAATTGTATACCAGCTTCGATCAAACCCAACTGACCTATCTTTACGATGCCAGTGAAGAGCTCAATCATTGGATCCTTTAGCTTTCTACGATCGATGAGTTTGTAATGCCTATAATGAGTTTCAAAAAGTTTTTCCCATGCGCAAGTAAGATACAATTTCTTGAGACCTGGAAACTCGCCAAATAAGTTTTGTATGCTTGTTTAGAAACCTTTCTTTAATACATAAGCAATGACCTAAGTGAATTTAAGAAAGTTGAAAATTTAGCATATACAGCATGTATGCATGATCTGATAGTTGAATATGTTAGTGTGAAGTTACCTGTAAAATCCCTGACTTGTGAAGTTGACATCCTTGTCCTTTTGATTTAGACAAAGTTGACATTTTAGTTCTTTTTGATGTAGCTTCTTCACCAAATGTAATCTTCACACTCAATGATAACATCTAATTTCTAATTCACTCACTCAAAATAAAATAGAAAATTACATTACTTGAGTGACCTTTTTGTCATACGAAAATTGCCAACCTAAGACTTTAAACCTAACAAAACTTTTTGGAAAAGTATTTAAGAGTTGACTTTCATCTTATAGTTATTCTATGGTGATCAGTTACACAATCACTTTATTTCTTTCCAATGAAAAATGTCTTACTGGAAATAGTCAATTTATTACCATTTCTCATACCAATCTCCTAAACTTATGTTGGTTGTTCACCCTAAAGGGGTTGAACTTGAAAGGAGGCCAATAAAGTTATCTTAGCTGAAGACATTTTTTAAAAATTAAATTTAAATAATGGGGATTGGGGACTAGATACTTAATATGAGGTGTTTATTTATTATTTATTTATTTGGTGCAGGCTGAATCGGTGGACGGTTTCTTGCAGAGGTTGGGCCTCCAAAAATATTCAATTTCATTCGAAGATAAGAAAGTGTGTGAATTTTATAGTTTTCCTTTGTTTTCTGAAATTTTTTGTGTGTTTGGTTTTAACCTTTACCTTGAGAATCACTATTTTTTCGCCTTGTGCTTTTCTTCAGATTGATATGGCCACCCTTAAAAACATGACTAATGAGGGTCTCAAGGCTTTAGGATTACGAAAGGTAAACTCAAGTAGACTCATCTTGCTATATGTAGTGTTCCTTTATTTTCACTTACACCTTTAGAAACTTTATTGCTTGGCTGATTGAGGACTTGCAGATATAGAAGTTAGGGTAAAGTACTTTCAGACCCTTTAGGTTTTTCGAAATTACCTTCAGATGAAACTTGTTGAAAATTTGTGGTAAACCTCCCTAGAGTTTTGTTAGAAAATCACCCTAACTACTCCTCAGTCAACCTTCAGGTCAGTCCAAAGGGGTAAATTTTAAATTTCAAAAATACCCTTTTATGAAGCAAAATAATGTAATGACCCTATTTATTTTATGAAATGACCATTTTAACCAAATCACACACTTATTCATACACACACACACATTTTTCTCCACTTCTTCCACCATTGCTCCCCTACCACCGCCTTACTCTCTACCGCCATTTTAGTTACCATTTACACGGGAATGAGGTGAGATCGTGGAAAGCAGGGACGAGGGCTACCTGGACCACCACCAGCATTGCCATTCCGATTGTAGCAAAAAGGAGAGTGCCGCCACCTTTCAGAACTTTAGCTGATACCATAATTGACTATCACTCACTAAACCCTCCAATTTTCCCCTTCTGTTGTAGGCTTGTAGTAGTGGTGCTAACATGATGATGCCTCCTAAGGATTTTGGAAATCAGAAAGCGAGGATTTTGCCATGTCAGCATTTGTGTCTTACAAATTTTAATTTGTTTTTGAAGTAGATATCTTTAAAAAATTGATACGCCAAATATATATATATCTATATATATATATATATATTGCAATAGTGTATATTTATGGCCTAGAAATGGTAGTAGCAGTGGCAGTTGGTAGAGTGAGAGAAGGAGAAAAGAAATAAGAGATGATAGCTGCGGTAGCAGTTGGTGGCCCATTCCGATGAGAGTCGTGTTCCACTTGAAACCCTAGCTCTTTGAATTTGGAGTGAGTCAACAAAATTACAAAAAATTGTTTAGAGTTTTCAAAGTAAACTTAATAAAATGGAATGAGAGAGGATGAATATAATGGAGTGGAGGGAAGCGCAGGTAGACCTGTCAATGGATCGAATTCTGATCCGAATGCGATCCCGATTATTTGGATATGAATTGAGTTTAAAATCCTATAAACCGATAACTATCCGAATCCAATAACCCGTAAACATAACAAATCGGATTTGGATTTAGGTCGATCCGATCCGATTAAAATTATTTATATTATAGTTATATTTTATATATCATTATATATCAACCATCACTAGATTTAATAACAACCATCAGATTTGTATAGATTTAATAAAGTTGACCAATCACAGTTGTGTATGTATTGAAAGTATGGTGTTCTCACCTACATTATAATATTTCTCTTAGGCCCGTTTACTAACGCTTTCACTTTCTTATTTTTGCTTTCTTTAAAAGTAAAATTATGATTTTGATTCCTTGGAGTGAAATAAAAAGTGGAATCATGTTTAATAATTTTTTCTACTTTCAATATTTTGAAAGCAAAAAATTAGAAAGTAAGTTCAATAAATTATAAATTTATTTTTGTTTGCCTAGTCATCTCTCTCTCTAAAAAGGGTGTCTGGGTTGGATGATAATTGTTTGGCTTCCTCAACGGCGAACTAAGCAAGTATAAATTTGGCAACAGAAGCATAGAAAAAGTGAGGGCATGAAACTATGACTCCAAAGAAGAACCTGATAAAGATTAAAGAGCTTATTGTTCCTTCATGCATATCAATGTCATCTCGATTCTTTGGCATGCACAGAGTAGAAAAGGTATGTAAACAGACCCTTGTTGTAGGCAATGTAATTATCATCAATTTTTGGTCATCTGTCACCTTCTCTTCTTGTCCTAAAGTTGCGGCCTCTCTTCTTCTCCGGCAACGGCGACGCCAGAATCAAGAAGTAGTTGATGTGGTTGAACATAGAGATCAAAATAGATGAGTTTGATAGAGGAAATCGTCAGTCCAAATCCTACATCAGTCCAACAATCTGATGAAATTGAGGCATAGTTGTCTGAAATTGGAAGAAATTGAGCCATAGTTGTTTGAAATTGGAAGAAATCGGGGTGATGAGATGATGGATCAACACTACAAGGAGGAAGAGGTTTCAGTCTTCATTGGATGATCGGCAGCGGTTTGTGGTGGTAGAGAGAAGAAGAGAGAGGAGCTGGTCCCCTCCGTCGCGGGTCACTGATCGGCCGATTCCAAACTTGCAGTGTGTTGAGAAATTTGTGGCTCAAATTTTTTTGATCTGACAACTTGCATGCACCAGTTACCTTTTTCGTGGTGATCAAGTATTTGGTATTCATATGGAATACTTCAACCCCTCTTTATTGAAACATGCACCAGCAAAAGTGTGACATCACTTTCTCTCTCATGCATCTTCAATTGGTGGTGTAATTGCAGCTTCATCAAGAAGCTTTTGGAAGCTGACATTACGTGGTCTATTTCGGCTACAAGCTAATCATCCTTTTGTATGACAGCTATTTGGTGCTTGGAGAACAAGCTAATTTGCCGCCTCACTTCTGCCTATATATATCTTGTAAATCTCTTGCAATGGGATCATCCAAAATCATCTGGGTTGAGTGAGTTTGTAATATCAGTTAGTGAGTGAGAGATTTTGGGTGCAATGGGTTTTGGGTGTGAGCCACTTTGTCTTGTATCTCTTTATTTCCATAGTGAAATATTGTTCTGTCTTCTCCCCGTGGATGTAGGCATAGCCGAACCACGTAAATCCTTGTCTCGTTTGTGTGTGCGCGCAATATTATTTTCTTGTCATTAATTTTCTATTGTTCTCATAAACTCCTATTCGATCCTTATTTCATAACAAACTGGTATCAGAGCTCGGGTTCGTGTATTGTGCACATATACTGTTCACATATACTATTCAGGTACTGTTCACAAATACGATACTATTCACTGAGTAATTTTTGGGGAGTTTTTTTGAGATATCGACCAGATACGAGATTGAGAAATTTGATAGCAAGATTAATTTCAGTCTTTGGCGCATTAAGATGCAGACCTTGCTGACTCAGCAAGGTCTAAAGAAGGTGTTGTTCGGGAAGGACAAGTTGCTAACAACTATGTCCAATGAAGACAAGGATGAGGTCGATGAAAAGGCGCGCAGTGAGGTGCTGCGTGAAACTATTGATGAAGACACGGGGGCAAAGTTGTGGCTAAAATTGGAGAGTCTGTATATGACAAAATCTCTCACCAACAGACTTTACCTAAAATAGAGACTCTACACCCTTCGTATGAAGGAAGGCATGCCTCTTAAGGAGCATATTGATAATTTCAATTCTATTATTATGGATTTGAAAAATACTGATATTAAAATTGATGACAAGGATCAAGCCTTTATTTTGTTGTGTTCTTTGCCTCCTTCCTATGAGCATTTTGTTACCACATTGCTTTATGGAAAAGACACTATTAGTATGGAGGATATTAAATCCTCATTGAACTCTCAGGAGTTGAGGAAAAAGGTGTCTGGGAATATTGGAGATGAACAGGCCGAGGGTCTATTTGGAAGAGGCAAAAGTGAGACAAAGGGTTATGGTAGTAGGGGCAAATCTAGATCTTATAAAGGCAAAGAATGGGAAGGGCAAAAAGAAGGTTCAAGAAGCAGCTTTTGTGGCAACTGCTACAATGAGTGATTCGGAAAGTGATGAATATGTTCTCATTATAACCTTGTGTTCAGGTATATCATTTAATGACAGTTGGATTCTTGATTCTGGTTGTTCCGTTCACATGTGTCCCGGTAGGGATTCTTTCTCTTCCTATAAAGAGGTGAAAGGTGGTTTGATTTTGACGGCGGACAGGAAAGCTTTCAAAATTTTGCGAATTGGAATAGTCAAGATACACAATGGGTTGGTGAGAACATTGTCAGATGTTCAACATGTACAGGATCTGAAGATGAATCTTATTTAAGTAGGTGTGCTTGACTCCAAAGGTTACAAGGTTGTAACAGAGGGTGGAGCAATGATGGTCGTGATGGATTCTCTTGTGGTGTTACAGTGCACCAAGGTGAAAAATTTGTATCTTCTCCAAGGGAATACAGTAACAGGTGGAGCTTCTACAGGGTCTTCTACAGTTATTAGAAATCTGTGTTCGGGTCTTGGCAAAAGAAGTGCTCGAAAGAGGAGTTACGATCCTAGTTCTCAAAAAGGTTATGAGGGGACTACACAACGTGGTGGGAGAATGAAATCCGTTTTCAGATGCCAACCAAAATTGCAGCAGTCCTTACAGGGAGGCAGACCCATGAGGACAGGAGTGATATTGACTTGCAATAATCTTGGTGACAGTGGGATAGTCCATTCGAGTGCCATTAAGATGTGTGGGAGGCAAGTAGTTGATCACAATAGAGATGCGAAGAAAAGTCACGGACTTCCGATTTTCCACAAGGGTGAGAAGATGACTTTTCATTACCAGCCGGTGGTTTGTGGGCGGTTGGAGAAGATTGCTGAAGGAGATGTCAAACTTGGAATTTCTGAGGTTGCTTTTGGTAAGCATTTAGAGTTTGACAGAAATACTGGAGGTATGCTTGTGGCTGTGCAAGACATACATGGGTTGAAGAATGAGAGCCCGAGGGTTAAGTTTGAGTCCTCAAACTTAATTAAAATTCTTAATTAATTTGTTTTGTGGAGAAGACAGGTTGTTTGGCAGAGATACAGTGGCTCATACGAAATTTTTGCCAAGGTGGAGATTTGTTGAGAAATTTGTTGCTCAAATTTTTTTGAATTGACAACTTGCATGCACCAGTTACCTTTTTCGTGGTGATCAAGTATTTGGTATTCATATGGAATACTTCAACCCCTCTTTATTGAAACATGCAACAGCAAAAGTGTGACATCACTTTCTCTCTCGTGCATCTTCAATTGGTGGTGTAATTGCAGCTTCATCAAGAAGCTTTTGGAAGCTGACATTACGTGGTCAACAATTTCGGTTGCAAGCTAATCATCCTTTTGTATTACAGCTATTTGGTGCTTGGAGAACAAGCTGATTTGCCGCCTCACTTCTACCTATATGTATCTTGTAAATCTCTTGCAATGGGATCATCCAAAATCATCCGGGTTGAGTGAGTATGTAATATCAGTTAGTGCGTGAGAGATTTTGGGTGCAATGGGTTTTGGGTGTGAGCCACTTTGTCTTGTATCTCTTTATTTTCATAGTGAAATATTATTTTGTCTTCTCCTTGTGGATGTAGACATAGCTGAACCACATAAATCATTGTCTCGTTTGTGTGTGTGTGCTATTTTATTTTCTTGTCATTAATTTTCTATTGTTCTCATAAACTCCTATTCGATCTTTTTTTTTTTTTCATAACACAGTGGTTGTGGCGTCGGTCTTCGTGATAGGAGAGGATGATGGTTATACGAAGAAAGAGGGGTAGTACAGTAATTTTGGTGGGATAACAGTGGAGAAAGTAATTCCCGTCTACAGTGGAGAAAATAAAGAAAGTATCAAATTGTCACTTTCTCTTTTCTTCTTTAAAAGAGAAAGTACTTTCTTGAAGTAAAAAAGTAAAATTACTTTATCGAATATGATTTTTAATTTTACTTCTCAATTTTAGGAATTGAAAGTAAAAATCAGGAATCATTCCTGTTACTAAACAGGCCCTTAATACATACTGCTACCACTTGTTGCTTGCGAATCATAACACCCACAGAATCAAAATTCTAGAATGTGGTAACTTCAGAGGCGGCTAAAACAACGAAGGGCGATGACCAGTTGACCATCAGAACTCAGCCAGAGCGAGTATTCTACTTTTGCATCTTCTTTCCTTTTTCTTCTCCTCCATTAGAAAGCCCTAATTTTCTGTTTTTCACAACAAAGTTGTTCCAGATTTTTTTACATCTTTTTCTTATTCTTCCTCTTCTTCTGACCACTCTCTCAAGTTTTCCTTCGTCTCTATCAGTAAAATCATGCCAAACTCAGATTTGGGTTTTAGTTTTATTGAGATAATTGTTTGCACCATTAACTGATTTGTGAAAAAAGCGTATCATTTAATCGGATTGGACATCGGATAACATGTATTTTGGATATGGATTCACCAATTAAAAATCCATAAGATTATCGGATCGGGTCGACACATATGCTTATTGGATTCGGATCGGATTGACCATGATCCGCTCCAAATTTGATCCGTTGACGGGTCTAACCGGGGGGGTGTGCAGTGGGTAGTGGTGGGAGTGGTAGCTGGCACTAGTGGTGACGGTTGAGGTGGCGATCTTCAGTCATGGTGGAGATATGTTATGTATATGTTAAATTCTTATTGAGTTGGGTAGAACACCAATGGTGAGCAAGGGTCTCATGGAGTGGTAGATCATGAAGGACTTAGGTATTCGACACCATACCTGAGCAGAGAGTGTGTACACGGTTCATTGTTCAAAGTCTTTATTGGTGTAATTTCTCATAAGGTTGTGTGTGAGTGGACATTCTTTACAGTTGTATTCTTTTTGTTAATGATGGTGGAATTTCTTCTCTCCGTGGATGTAGCCCAGATTTTGGGTGAACCACGTAAATCTTGTAATTTTGTTATTATTTTTTTTGTTACACTTCCGCTGCCCAATAAGTGGTATTAGCGTCAAAGGTTTTTCGTGAAGAGTTTGTCAGCCCAAGGTTCATCTTTAGGAGTTTGTCAGTGCCGAAGGTTCATTGTGGAGAGTTTGTCAGAGTTGAGTGAAATGGGAGAGACAAAGGGATATTCAATCAAAATCGGGCTATTGCCCGTCCTCTCTAAGCAGGTTTCTCTAAAGTGTACAACTACGACGGAAT